AGCATGGGCTGTACTCCGTTTGGTTTTCGGATGAGCCAACATTTATCTCACCGGCGGGCAACCCATCGACACTAGACCTGTTCCTGACAAATATCGGCTTGTCCAAGCCGGTAGCCTTCAACGAACTCAGTTCCGACCACCAACCGGTGGTGTCTGAGCTGGGCTGCAACGTGGCTCCTGCTTCAAGCCTGCGCAAGGACTATCATCGCGTAAACTGGGCCCAGTTTGGACGCGTGGTAGACAGGCACATCATCGACAACCCGCCGCTTGACACCGTGGAGGACATCGACCGAGCGTTGGAGGGACTCCACCAAGCCATAACCGTGGCTGACGAGGCGTGCGTCCGACGAGTTCCTGTGAGGGGTAAGTTTATTGCTATTGATTCCCACACCCAACTCTTAATTCGCCTGAGAAATGTTCGTAGACGCCAGTTTCAGAGGACTGGAGATCAAGCGATGAAACGTGAAATGGCCGATCTGAACAAGGAGATTGCTTCCAGAATGGTCTCACTCCGGAACGAAAGCTTCGGGCGGCTTGTACAGAATCTGGACGACCGCTCCAGACCATTCTGGAAAGTTGCCAAGGTCTTAAAGACGCACCCTAAACCCATTCCGCTACTAAAAGATGAAAATGATGACGATCGGCTCATAATCACCCCTCAGGAGAAAGCAAATGCGATTGGTGAGCATATTGCCAAATCGCACATGCTTGGCTCCAACATCCAAAGTCCGCTCGAAGTTCAGGTTGAGCAATGCGTACTCAACTTTGATTCCTCCCCTTGTGCCATCCCTCCGGAGGATAGAATCACAGTTGAACAGATTTGCTCAGCGCTGAAATGCACCAAAAACATGAAGGCCCCCGGGTTTGACGGAATATTCAACCTAGTGTTGAAAAATCTCAGCATGAAGGTTCACTCTCTGCTGGCTGCTGTCTTCAACAGATGCTTGGAACTGCACTACTTTCCAAGCATCTGGAAGACAGCGAAAATCATACCTATCCGCAAACCCGGGAAGGACCCAACGCTAGCTTCAAGCTACAGACCAATCAGCCTCCTTTCAGCGCTGAGCAAATTGTTCGAGAAACTCATTCTCAATCGTTTGCTCAAGTTTGTCGAGGAAAATAACATTCTCCTTCCGGAACAGTTTGGGTTCAGAAAGGGGCACTCCACAAATCACCAGCTAGTGCGGGTGATGAATAACATCCGAAGTAACAAGGCTGTATCCAAGTCTACAGCCATGGCATTGTTAGACGTTGAGAAAGCGTTTGATAATGTCTGGCACAATGGGCTTGTATACAAGCTCTGTAACTTCAACTTTCCATTACATCTGGTTAAAATCACCCGTAGCTACCTCCAGCAAAGGTCGTTTAAGGTATCGTTGAATGGTTGTCTTTCAGACACGTTTTCCATCCCAGCAGGAGTCCCGCAAGGCAGTCTGCTGGGCCCCTTGCTTTACAGCATTTACACTTCCGACATTCCTCCCCTCGGTGACGGTTGCGTGTTTTTCCTGTTCGCAGATGATACCGCAATAGCCGTCAAAGGAAGGATGCCTCGCGAAATAACGAACAAACTTCAACGATGCCTTAACGCCTTTGCTGATTATGCCACCACGTGGAAAATCAAAATCAATGCTTCCAAAACACAAACAATCATGTTCCTCCATCGACAATCACCCAAACTAAAACCGGCTCCCTCTTGTACTGTAATCATGGATGGCACAAGGGTTGAGTGGTCCGCCGAAGTAACCTATCTCGGGATGTTGTTTGACGAAAAGCTTCTATTCCGCTCGCATGTGGAGAAAACCGTAGTCAAGTGTTCCGCCTTGGTTAGGTGTCTGTATCCGCTGATTTGCCGCAGATCCCGCCTCTCAAGGGTGAACAAACTGGCCGTCTACAAACAAATCATAGCACCTGCGATCCTCTACGCAGCTCCGGTGTGGGAATCATGTGCACAGACTCACAGGAACAAAATTCAGGTCGCTCAGAATAGAGTGCTGAGGATGGTTCTTGATCGTCCTTTCGACACTAGAATAACAAATTTACATGAAGAGGTAGGCATTGCCAAAATAGATTCCAAAATTAACGAAATTAAGACTAAATTTGCACAAAAATGTAATTTATCAGAACATGCTTTGATAAGCAATTTGTATATAGTAGGTTAGGTGTACATAGTAGTTGTAGGTTAGTTGTAGTTGTAAATAGTAGTTATAAGTAGTCTCCCTTTTCCAATTCAAATCAAACCAATCCCACCAAGGTGGTCATACTTTAAAATAGGCCTGATAGGACTAGGAACTGTAAATAATAATTAAAATCTCAAATGTACCAAAGTTGAAAAGACGCATCTGTGTCACTTAACAAATTCATACATGTAAACCACACAATCACAAGAAATAAAGATCATTTAAATGGCAAAAAAAATGGCATTAGCTCAATTTGGCTTCGGACAGTAGGAAGGTGGTGGCTAGTCCACTCATTCACACCTAACAAGCAACAATTGACTGGTCGTGGCAAAGGAGGAAAAGGTCTGGTAAGGCCGTGGTGGTGTCAAACGTATCTCCGGTCTGATCCACGAGGTGTCCTGAAGGTGTTCCTGGAAAATGGGGTCCGTGATGCTGTCACCTACACTAAACACGCCAAGCGTAAGTGGCCATGGATGTCCTCCTCAATAAAACGGCCCTTTTCAGGGCCATCAAGCTTACATCAGTAAAGAGTTGAAATAGAATTTATCTGTGCTTGTTTGTCCATATTCAGAACCACAAGCCCCCAACGACCACAGTTGTAATCTTGTAACCAAACTTGGATGCAGGGGTGCAAGTGATTTTGATTTATTCTCTTAATCAGCTCCTAATCAACTCTCTTTGTAAAAGATTACTACAAATTTGGTACGCCTACAATTCAAAAACGAAAAGAGTTGAGATAATAGATAATTGATCAATTAAAACAACTAAATGCTCATGCTTTTCTAGCTTCCGTTTGTGCCCCTAGGCACAGACCCTTCTTATTTATTTTTTTTTTAAATAAAGCTCATGGAAAATGCAATTTTTTTATATTGAAACCATGAATATTTGAAAATAAACAAAAATCATAAAACAAACAGTGTTTTTGTTTTAATTTTAATAAATTAGGCTTTGTTATATAATTTTTTCACAGGAAACAATATTTTAGACATTTTAAACTGTTACCCGCGTAAAAATTGTTTCTAAAAGCGTACTACAAAAAAGTTCAAACATTTTACCAAAAGTTCTTGTTCCACAATTTTGGTAAATCAGCCAAAAGTTTGCATCTTTTTGGATCTGTTACGACAGTTTTACATTTCAAAATTTGGTATGGTTCACCAAATCATAAGTGCATTCAGCAATAATTTCATCTGATTTTCTGAATATTCATTTTAGAGACCTTCGTTGGAATTTAAATATGGGATATTTGACCCTTATTTCGCTATAGCTGGATAAATTTAGCTTTTCAGAACGGAAATGAAATGACTTTACATGACAACATTTTCAAGACTCTGAAACCAACATTATCAAGGTCTGAACATTAATTACAAGATTTTTGTTTTAATAAAATAAATTAATATCTAACATTCTTGATCGACGATAAAACCTTGCAATCTTTTATAGTAGGGCTGTGTTGAACCCAAAATTTATAATCTAACGAAGCAAGGACACAAGTTGGCTTGTACTGCTTGCACATTAGAATTATTTAATTTTCCATAGCAAGAACCTATTCCCACTATAATGTTCACCCTCATTCACTTCATTCTCAAACAAGGACATTAAAAGTACCTCACTGTCTGAGTCAATGTACCCACCTTCAATTTTTTTCCATCACAATTTTAATCACTTTCTTCAAAAGTTGTTTTTTCTCACAGCTGTAAGTAAATCAACTTTTGACGAAAGTGAGTAAAATTTTAATGGGAAAAACAAAAAGTTAGCAAACTTGGCTCAGCCAGTGAGTATCATTTTACGTCCGTGAATATTTCAAATGCAAAATAGTACCAATTCCGTCCGCTATCTCGAACAGCAGCACATTACAGCTGAGAACTCGCTTTCATGGGCTATAAACTACGATCCGCAGTTTTCCTATCATCCACCAGAGCACACAAAAAATCAACCCGTTCCCATCGTTCAGTTTCATTCCTACTCCTCTGCGCATGTTGTTTCCACATTCCCCTCAAATGTAATGCTTCAAGCATAACCCCGCTCACGTCCTCCTTCCACGACATGACACGCTGCTGAACAAGCAGTCGCACATTTTTGTCACCATTGTCGTCGTTGCAATTGCAATAGCATAGCACACGACGGGGTAAAAGTGGGCGTGGTCACTCACACCGTGCACCAAAAGCCCCTTGCTCTTTGCAGAAGATTGGAAAGTGTGCACTCAGAGAAGAGGACACACGTGTGCGTGTGTAGCTATGTTCGCCCGGTGCAGTGTAGTTGTTTGTTGTGCTGTGCTTGACAGTGCGGAACACATGAGGAGCCAAGAAGACCGCCACCGCCGCTCGTTCGTGGAGTTTCAGGTTTCCAAAGCTAGTGAACGTCGTCACCGTAGTGTGGGAAGGGATGGACGGGGGTGAGAGTTTGCCAGCGCTGCCGTGATCACGCGGCTCTTTGCTCGCGGCTGTATTTGTGTGAGTGTATTCTGGTGTGCTGAGTGTGGCACGGTGGTGAGCGCGCGCGGTGTAGTGTGACTAGAAAAATAAGAACGAAGTAGCGTGTCGTGAGTGAGTGCTTGGGTCTGTTCTTTTTTTTATAGCCAGTAATCATGCTGATTCCTGGCAAGATATCGCGCGCCGGGCTTGGTGGAATGGGCATAAAGTGGAAGTGGTTGCAAGAACGACAGGGTAAAAAAAAACTTGGTTACGAAATAACATGCGCGATGCGCGGGCAGTTTCCGGGGGGTGGTGGGGAGAATCCTGCAGCAGCAAGAAGAGACAACGGAATCGGCGGTGAGGGTGGTGTCGGTGGCCGCTGCAACCGCACAGCTAGATGACAAATACAGTGCCAAAGCGGGTGCCAGTTCATCACCAGAAGTCCTTGCGAAACGAATCGTGCGGGAGCTGCCCGCCGGTACCGGGAACGCTGTAAACTGTAGTGGTGCAGGGAGTTCCGCGAGGAAGCGAACGCAAACCGCGAAGGAAGCAAAATTAGTGACAATTATGGCGGCATCTTTTTTCGCCGACTCCGCTGGCAAAAAGTGGCAAATTCCGCGAGGGCCTTGACAGTGGCGCCACTTGTGCCTACACGTCGCCGGAGAAACTGTGCCGCCATCCGGTGGAGAAAGCTGGAAGCTTCTTCGGGAAGAAGGACCGACCTAGTAAAGAACGAGAGGGACAGAGAAAGTGTCTGTTATCTGTTGCGCTGCCAGCAGAACGAGAAGGCCGCGATGTCGGGCTGCTGTGATAACGAGGAACTGTTGTGCCAAGTGAAAGCGAGTCTTTTTAATTGTTGATATGATTCATGACGCTTGTGCCGCCATACTCTCTTTCTCTCTGCCCTCGGCCTCTTCACCCGCGAGGGACGAGGACCAGAGGAAGGCACGTGTGAGTGCGGTTTTCCAGCGAAATGATAAGGGACCCGAGCAGACTGTGCGCTGAGTGGTGGTCAGCATTTGATAACAACGGAACGGTCCGTTCTGACAAGTGAATGACTTGTTGATGTGACAACATAGTGAGTGAGTACAGTTGTTCGGCTGTTGACGGTAGATCGCATTGTTGGTGGACGGCGTCGTTTGACGAGCAGATCAAATAAACATCGGCGGGGGTGCAAGGAGGAGGTGCATGACCAGGTTGGTTGAGATTTTTTTTTTTTTTTTTATGACGAAGATGGTTTTTGTTTACGGTTGAGAAGGTTCTGTTTGGCAGAGTGAGTGTTTGTCGAGCGGGGCGTCCGGATTCGGTTGGGTATCATCGGTATCATTTTTGATAAGGGCGCGAACGCGGAGCATCTCGCAAAGGTCGTTTGAGGTGTCAAGTGAATTGTGGTTTGTGATTAGCCCACTAGATGAGGAGCAATGACAAAATGGACTACACAATCAGCTGATAAGATTTGTTGTTTGATATTCAATTCAAAACAATCATGGTGTCGGTTTGTTTTGTTAAATCGTTGTTTGACAACAGTGGTTTCTAAACTACTCTTGCATTTCTAGCGTTCACAATCATAAGGGCCTAACTGCGATGGTCGATTCTCTTCATCAAAGTTCACTTTTGTTAATAATTCAGCTGGAGTAAAATTTCTAATCCGGTCACTTCACTGTATTGTAATAATTTCGGAAAATTTGTTCACTCAACTGTGGTAATGAGAAGAGAAAATCGATGCTGAGAATCGACCATCGCAGTTAGGTCTTTATGATTCTAAATGCTAGACTTGAATCTTCCTTCACCGAATTTGGTTTTAAAATTTTGAAATGTATAAAAATAAAACAAAACTAATTTCCAACGCATGGGAGCCATCATTTTTTTTTTATCGCCTAGCGAACGTTAGTTGAGCTTGGATCTAACATTGGGATCGATCGACTTGTATATTTTATTTGCTCGCCCGGGTGAACAAGTAAGCACCATGCCCGCTAACTGCCCGATAATCGCCCTTTTTGCGTTATAAAGTTATTACAGGGCTTCCAAACTTTATTTTAGCCGTTCAATCAGCCTTATGGCGATGCAAAAAGGGCGATTAGCGGGCTTGTTGGTTACTCGGATGATGATCCAAAAATTTTGTCCTAAGGCAGAAGAAAGTGTGACAAATATTTGGATTTGAGTGAACACCATCAAGTAATTCATCATACTCTTTGTCTTGTTGTTGTTGTTGTTAAGACCACGTTTCGGATGTGAATAATCAAAGATGTGTTTTCAAACAGACGAACCTGCTGCCTCCTACTTGGTAATACCGTGCCTTTACTGACTAGGCTATCTGAGACCCGTTTCTGATAATAACTAGGTCTCATTAAGGGACAATGTTTTAACGGGTTGTCAATTATGTCACGATTTAAGGGGGAGGGCGTTGTAAAATTCCGTGACAAGCAATTATTTACGGATAGGAAAATGTAGCGAACAGAGGGGGCGTTAATTTTTCCTCAATTTCGCATGACATAATAAATGCATGGCTCCTAATTTTGTCACGTGAAATTAAGGATAAATTTACCGGTACACTGGCCGTCTGAGAATTGAATGTTGGAAAAAAAATGCACACTAAATGAATATCACAAATGATCGTCAAAAAATAAAAAAATAAATCTGTGGAAAGGACATTTTTAGAATTTTAAACTTTTCTTTATTTAAAAGCTTTCTGGGAAATGCTGGATGAAGCTTTGGAGCAGTTCCCAATGATACAAAGCTTCATCCAGCTTTTCCCAGCACTCTTCCAGTTATCACCAGGCAGTGTCTGTCTTCTGATATCCTGCAAGAAGATTCTTCTATCACCTTCTAGTAGTTTCTTCCAACTGCCCCAAAACTTTTCTGGCTTATGCTGGAAGATTCGTTCGAATTTCTACGGAAGCATCCTTCAATATATTTCAGAAGGTTTCTTCCAGTGTCCGTCTTCCTCGGGAAGCTTTTTCAGTTTCCCCGGGAATTTTGTTTTGACTCCTCCCAGAAATAGTTTTCAACTTCCTCTAAAAGTAGCTCCAGACATGCCCGGAAGCGTTTTTCCGAGGTTTTTCTGGCTTCCCCTGTAAATGTCTTCCGACTTCCTGAAAAGCTGCAGCCAGATTTCCCCAAAAGTCTCTTTCCACTTCCCTTGGAAGATTTTTACAGCTTCTTTTGGGACAGTCCTCCAAAACTCCAAATTCTCTTTAAGTGGACTTTAATGGAAATTAATAACCTTTTTTCGCCATTATGAGTATTCCACTGACAACTCAATTTCATAACTTTCAAATTCAGCTGTTTCCATTTAACCGGGAAAACTTAAAGTCTTAAATCCAGTGGCCACCCTGGCAGATTATCTTGGATAGCTTATCAAAATTACCATGGAATTCTTGTCAGGGTTTTTTCCAGGAAACTACCTTGCTATGGACCACTTCATCAAGCAGTTTCTACCTTGCTACCTGAGAGGACACAAAACTGACGACACTAATTACTATTCTACTATGAAACGCACCACTTTTGGTTACTTTTCTCGTGGTTCTAGAGAAAAAATCTCAAAATATTGTTTTATGTCGAAGTTCAAGCGGCAGGAATCGTAATTTTTAACTATTCGAATGAAATGGTTGATTCAGATCAGCATTTCCAAACAAAAATCACTTAAAACTCTCATCAGGAATCCGTTGGATTTCTTTTAAAAATTCCGTCGATATTTTTTCAATATTTGTCAAAAATCTTCCTGCAATTCGATTATAAATTCCGTTGACAATATTGCTTTCCTAAGGGTTATAACGAAGACAACATATCAAGAAGACTGGCAACTCTTCCATTTTTTCAAACGATCGGTATGAGACAGGCACAATTGCGTCATCTGCCGCTCAAAGATAAATGCTCCGAACGATTTCGTACCACCGACGAACCGACGTGACAGCTCATATAAGCTACTTTCAAATTCGTGCCCAAGACGCCATATTTAAAATACGTTAAACACTACCGACATCTACTCATCCGATCGCGTCATACCATGAGCAAAGACACGATCCCACGTATAATTTATATTGCCTTGGTTTGCGTCTCACCTCGTTTGACAGATCTGATCGGCCGTTTGAAAGTTCGAATAGCTCGTTTGACAATTCGAATTGTGGACATACGAAATGCTCCTGTGGCATGTCGGTTCGTCGGTGGCGCTACTGTGTCTGTCGCTCAGATTCAGGCAAAGTTGCCAGTCTTCTTGATATGTTGTCTTCGGTAGTAATCCCAAGTAACAATGATGGTTTTATGAGGGTTCTATAGACCATGAATTAGACTTGTAGAACATTTTAAAACCTTGATAAAACTTGAAATGTTACTTGGGATGTGTCTCAAGTAACACTTTTGTTTAAATCATGCCATTTGTAGACCTGATTAAAAATACTGTGGAACTGTGAAACTTAAAATCAGGATAAAGAGACTTGCGCATTCCGCAATACTAATTTCAAGAAACTACTTTGTATTGAATAAAGAGATGGTTGACTTGCATTGTCAAAATGCAAAATAGCAACGAGCTGCTGGACGGTGCTAGTTGTTCATCGTATTCAGTGTGGTCAACTACGGATTTATCCGTAGATCTAAGGAGTTCTAGATATTCTGCAGATCTACGGACTGACCATAACATTTTACGGATTCTCTAGATTTTTAGTGAACAAGTGAACAAGAAAATCTACGGATTCTCAAAATTACTTTTATAAATCTTAACATTTTGCATGACGGTTTTTTTTTTTTGTAATATGGTCATTAGAGTTAGCAATAATTAATTAAGTAGAATCAAACTTAGCTACCTACGGATCATACTCCAAAAAAGTCTGGCCGAAACATTTTGATATTCGAATCAACTGAATCTGACAAAATTGAACCAATTTAATTTATTTAGTTTTCGTTGCAGCAAAAACGGATAAGAAGTATTGACATTTGAACGCAAATCTAATCGATTTTTTTTCATCAAGCATTTCAAAATAGTTCACAATTTCATTTCATCGATACATTTGCTATAAAGCTGCATAACTTCGCGTAGCTCCGCATTTCAATTAATCATATGATCGAGGAGTCTTTTGACGACCAGATATTTTAAGAAAAGAAGGCAATAAATTTAAGATTGTTTACCCTAATAAACAAATACCAAATACAAATACTTTGTCCTGGATAGGCAAACTATCCCACAAATAGTTTGGATGATACCCAAGAACACGTCGTTAAGCTCTCGTATTATGCTTACTTTTATTCGAGGTTAGAAATAACCTCATAATATTACGCTATGATAAAGTTCGAGTGGTAGGAAACGTCACTTTGAACTGCTCGAATGATGTGATCCATTCCAAAAATAGCGATGGGAAAAACTAAACTCATCAACTACATTCGTTACGAGAGTCACACTTCCTCCCACTCGAACCAACATCAGCGTGGGATAATATTTAGAGATATTCTATTCTAGAACCTCGAAAAAATAAGGTCTTAATAGCTCTTACGAAAATAAATGTTTTACTCATTTTCTTAAAATCTCTGCTCGACTATGAGATTAAATTGAAATCCATCGCATAACAGTGCAGTAATGGTAAATTTAGAGCAGTTATTATACACTGATTTTTACAACTAGGCTACGGGTAAACTGGACTTCCCTAAAGTAACTTCTGTAAAGATCCTGCAATTTCCTTGATCTTAACTAAACCTGCTATGAGAATAGTTGGTCTTTCTTGACGTTCTCAAAACTATACTGAATTTCCCGTCATTCTTCTTAAATTCTTGATACTGTCCTGAAATTAATTGAAATGTCCTTTAATATTTTAACCTCTCTGAAAATCTCTGGACTTCTGTTCAATTACCAACATATGTTTAAAGTTTTCTAGACTTCTCTGAAATTTCTGGAATTTCGTAAAGTTTCTCAAAATGTTTCATGAAGTTCATGGTGCTGTCCTCAATTTATCTAAACTAACCCTCGCACATCTTTAAACTTGCCCAAAAGTACTTACGTTCCTGAAGTTATTAGGACTACCCTTAAGATCTCTGAGCTTTCCTAAAGTTCTTACAACTTCTATAAAGTTCCCACAAGTTCTCTGTATTAGAAATACGTTAAAGTTACCGCAGTATCCCTGAAGCTGGTGGGACCACGTTGAAGCTGAAAAAGCTTCCCAGAAGTACCCAAATTGTTTCAGAAGTTTCCTTATTACCCCAAGGATGTTAA